CAAAAATTGACAGCCAAATAGTAGAAAGAGAGAATGCAGACAAGGAACATGTGGGCCTTGGAGCTAAGCACACCAGTTGAAGGACAGGCCATTGTCACAAACGACCCAACGATAAAAGAGTAGTATGGGCTTGTGAGGATAAATCAGCCAACAGTTGGGTTGGGGTAAAGCCAAGGGATGAGCATGGGTTGAGAGAGGAAGTGATGCCGAAGAAGAAAAAAAGGAAGATTTAAAGAACAAAGCCAGGAACAGCAACTCATTTTGGGAAGGGTTTGAGAGTAAAGAAGGAAGCGAGAAAGATTGGATGGGAAGAACGACTCAAAGGGACAAGAAGAGAGGAAGGAAAAGGGCCAAATCATGTAGAGTGTTGTATACCAAAAAACAACAAATTTGAGTCAATCTCACCAAAAGAAAGGAGGAAAAGGTAGATCCAACTCACGAGAAACTAAGGGAGAGGTAATCCCAAAATTGTTACCGTGCACAAGTAACTCAGTTGCAGGTGGATCAATTGGAGACAATGGCATAGTAAACTGTAATAGACTACTAAAGATACAACCAAGCCGAAGAATTGCAGAAGATTTGTGGGGTTTTGCTAAACAATTGAGGGTGATATCCGAGAATGAGGAATTGATGATCAAGAATCTGGAAGAAATGGAGAATAAAGATAGAAAAGCCAAGGTAGCAAGTTTGGATAAGAAGGTATATCAGGATGTTCGATGAATATTTTATTTGATAATATTAGAAGGTTGGGAGGTTGCGGGAAAAGGAGACAGATTAGAGAGTTAGTGAGAAAGGAAAAAATATATTTTTTAGCAATACAAGAAACCAAAATGGGAATGATTGATAGAAGAGTTTACAGATTAGTGTGGGGAATAGATGAGATTGACTAGCTAGCAAAAAATGCAGAAGGTATGTCGGGTGGAATTCTTTGTGTATGGAACCCTAGAACCCTTAAAAAAAAGAGAGTCTTGGAAGGGGAGTACTTTATAGGTATTGAAAGGGTATGGGGATCAGAAGAGGTTCTTGTGTGTATAATTAATGTCTATTCACCTTGCCAAATAACGGGTAAAAGAGCACTGTGGATGGAATTGAAGAATATGGTGATAGGAATGGGGAGTATATGGTGTGTTGTTGGGGATTTCAATGTTATTTAGAGAATTGAGGAAAGATCGAGATGTAGAAGTGTGTCAACTGAAATGAGAGAGTTTGATTGTTTTATTCAAGAAACTAAGTTGATTGACCTTCCCCTTGTGGGTAGGAAGTTCACTTGGTACCACTCAAATGGGAATCAAATGAGCAGAATTGACCAATTCTTATTGTCTAAAGGATGGCTTTCAAAATGGTGCGATACTAAACAGTGGGGATTAACTAGAACAGTGTCAGACCATTGTCCAATAATGCTGAAAGTCCAAAAAGTGGATTGGGGACCTAAGCCATTCAAGTTCTTTGATGCCTGGCTCGATGACCAAGGGTGTAAAGAGTTGATTTCGAAGGTCTAGAACAGTGAAAAAATTCAAGGGTGGGTAGGATTCCAACTTAAAGAAAAGCTGAAGGTAACTAAAAATGCTCTACGGGAATGGAGTAGAAATTTTTTTTGAACAAGTAGATGCTAAAATAAATTCATCTAGAGTGGTGATTGATCAACTAGATTTGAAGGGTGAACAAGGCCAGCTCACGGAAGAGGAAATCAACAAAAGAAAGGAGGCATTCCTTGACTTATGGAAAAATATGAATACCAAAGAGAGAATGGCACAACAGAAGTCAAGGAAAACTTGGTTGGTTAATGGGGATGCAAACACCAAGTTCTTCCACAATTGTGTCAAAGGCAAATGGAAAACCACAGAAATGAACAGCATACAAATTAAAGATTCTCAACTAGTTGACCCTACCATAATGAAAGAGGAAATTGCAAATTTCTTTGAAAACATGTTCAAAGAGGAGAACTGTAAAAGACCAAAACTCGAGGGTATTGGTTTTCAACAGATAACAGAGCAAGACAATGCATCACTCGTAGCTCCATTTACAGAAAATGAGATCAAAGCAGCAGTATGGGATTGTAAATGTTCAAAAGCACTGAGCCAAGACAGGTTTAATTTCAGATTTGTTAGAAGGGAGTGGGAGACAATCAAAGGAGACATGATAGGATTCATAAAAGAGTTTCAAGAAAAAGGAAAGCTGGTTAGAGGGCTGAATTCCTCATTTATTGTCCTGGTGCCAATAGTGAATAATCCACAGAGGATAGAAGAATATAGGCCCATATCCTTTATCAGTGCTGTGTACAAGATCCTTGCTAAACTATTGGCCAATCGACTCAAAAAAGTACTCGATCAAGTGATTGGTGAACAACAAATGGCATTCATAAGTGGAAGACAACTAATGGATGGGGTAGTGGTTGCAAATGAGGTAGTAGACAAAGCAAAGAAGAAGAAAAGCAAGAGCTTTCTCCTCAAGATTGATTTTGAGAAGGTTTATGATAAAGTGTGTTGGAAGTTCCTCAATTTTATGATGCAGAAGCTGGGGTTTTGTGCCACTTGGAGAAGGTGGATCATGGAGTGCTTGAGAACAAGCCAAGTTTCAATGCTGGTGAATGGTAGCCTTACTAGACAGTTCAACATCAACTAGGGCCTTAGACAGGGAAACCCTCTATCTCCTTTTCTGTTCTTGATTGTTGCAGAGGGCTTAAATGGGATGATTACCATGGTAGTGCAGAAGGGACTCCTGGAGGGCGTGGAGGTAGGATCCAAAGGATTCAAAGTGTCACACCTACAATTTGCAGACGGAACAATACTTTTTGGCTCTGCAATGGAGCAAAATGTCTGGCCAATGAAAGGCATTATGAGATCATGTGAGCTTGTCTTGGGCTTGAAGGTCAATTTTAACAAAAGCCAACTCTTGGGTATTGCGGTGAACGAGGAGTGGCTTGACAAAATGGCATGGGTTTTATGCTACAAAAAGGGTAACTTCCCATTTAAATACCTTGGAGTCCCTATTGGTGGAAGTAATAGAAAGCTGCATTTTTGGAAGCCATTGGTGGATGTTTTCTCGAAAAAACTATCTTCATGGAAAGGCCGATTTTTATTTCTTGGTGGAAAGATAACTCTTATTAACTCAGTGCTGTCTAGCTTGCCCGTATTCTGGATGTCGATGTACTGGATCCCATCAGGTCTTGCCTTAGATAAAATTAGAAGATGTTTCTTGTGGGGAGAGGCA